TCTCTCTCTCTCTCTCTCATATTCAATATATTCTATATAACAATACAAATTTCTTGTAATTCTTTTCTTTTCTATTTATATTTTATAGTTATCAGAACGGTCCAGACACATATCTTCTTCAGTTGCGAGATACCGATTTCCCAGTACGACTACGCGAATATATGAAAGTTGCGTGCAATCGTAGCCCTGGTTTCTCACGTTCTGTTACCGAAGACAACGGCTTTGATTGGAGGGTAGCTATAACAAAACTGTATTTAAAATGAAAAGAATATCATCTTCAAAAATATTTATCTAATTATTTATCTTATTATTAGGCACCCATCATACGAGAACGTCGTCGATTCACGGATGTTATGGATGAGGAGATTGACGATGAAAGAAGGGCACGCATCAATCGATACGGATCTGCGGACACGTATACGCTTAGACGTTTAAAGAATGAACTAGGTACTCGGTTAGACAGTTACGCTGAAGCTGAGGCGATGATCGAATCGAAAAAGGACGGTCAGCCTCCGTTTTTCCGCGAAAAGCCGCAGATTTGCCCAATTGAAGAGGGAAAACCGGCGCATCTCACCTGTCTAGCCGTAGGAAATCCGAAACCACTGATACAGTGGTTTAAAAACGATATGGTCATACAAGAGAACAATAGGATCAAAGTGACAGAGGACTCTGACGGAAGATCTATACTTAATTTTAATCCTACAAAAGAGCATGATATCGGAATATATAAAGTCGTGGCAAGGAATCCAATAGGACAAACGATTGTTAGGACCAGGATATTGCAGGCAACGGTTTCTTGCGGTCCGGATTCTCCAGAGGTAATCTACAGTGCAATAATTAAAATGATTTTTGAAACGGTGATCAATTTATATACAAAAATAATGTTTCCATTTTCATGTTGTAAAATATTCGACTTTCTAGGCTACCGATGTTTCGGATACCGAGGTTCTTCTGCGATGGAAGCAGCCGAAGTATGATGGCAACTCGCCCGTGCTATGTTATAATTTACAGTACAAGGAGGGTGATTCAATCGCATGGATAGACGTTGGCTTCAACATTGACCACGAATTCTATCTGGTGCGCGACTTAAAGCAAGATACGAGTTACAACTTCCGCCTGGCAGCGCGTAACCGTATTGGTTGGAGCGAAAAGGGCATTCCGTCAAAGTTAATCAAGACGCGACCGCCGGGTTGTCCGAAAGTACAGATTACGCGGGCGATGAGACATCTCCAAGAGCTAACTGAAGCCGGCCAAGAGATTGTCCTGGAAGAGGACAAACCACACATCGATTACTCTATAGAGGAGAATCCGATTGAATGGTTGGTGGAACCGCAACTATCCACCAAGTATAGTTTTATCTCGGAGCTATCGCGCGGACAATTCTCCGCAGTGGTGAAGGGTGTAGATAAGAGCTCAGATCGCGTGATCATTGCCAAGATCTTGGAATTAAATGCCGAGACGGAGAAGCAAGTGAACCAGGAATACGAAGTATTACGTTCACTGCGACACGAACGGATAGCCATGCTGGAGACTGCCTACAAAGCGTCCAACTCGCCCGTGGCGGTGTTTATCATGGAGAAACTTCAGGGTGCCGATATTCTCACGTACTTCTCCAGTCGGCACGAATATACAGAAAACTGCGTAGCGAATGCTATTACGCAGATTCTCGATGGTCTGCAGTATCTTCACTGGCGTGGATACTGTCATCTAAATATTCAGCCGGACAATGTCGTCATGTCATCTGTGAGATCAGTTCAGGTGAAGTTGGTTGATATGGGGTCAGCTCATAGAGTCAGCAAATTGGGCACAATGGTGCCCAAGCATCTGGGTCATCCAGAATACAGATCGCCCGAACTCTACAACGATGAACCTGCCTATCCGCAAACGGACATCTGGATGGTCGGTGTGTTGATCTATGTATTACTATCTGGAGTTTCTCCGTTCCGTGGTAAGGATATGGACGAGACCAGACAGAATATATCCTTTGTCAGATACAGATTCGAGTATCTTTACAAAGAGCTGAGCCAAGAGGCCACCAGATTTCTCATGTTGGTCTTTAAACGCGCACCAAGGTTGGTAATAATTTGAAAAAGTTTCCAAGATTAATATAAAAATTTATTATAATCGGATGTTTTGTAATTATACTTAATATTAAATGTGGAATAATTTTTTTATTTAATAGGTCTCTTATATATTTAAAAAAATGCATTAATTTTTTTTAGCAAAAGGCCATTAGCGGAGGAATGCCACGAACATCGATGGCTACTGCCGACAGAGTTTATGATTAAGAAACGCGAGAGGGCTATGTTCCTAGGCAACAGATTGAAGGAATATAATGAAGAGTATCATGAAGAAAAGTCGAAGATAGCTTCCGACAGTGATAGCTTAGGGAGTGAGAGTTTACTGGGTTCCAAACAGAAACTCATCAGGTCAACCAGTATACAAGAAGAACTGCGGACCACGTTCTAACGATGGAAAGCTGCAATTTTTTATTTATATTTATGTACACATACACAACATGCACTGACACGTGGCCGTATCACTTCGCGTACATGCTTAGTCTAAATCTAAACAGCGCGGAGGAACGACAAGAAATGAGAAACAAGCAGAGACATTACCTCTCCTTGTCTTCTCTTTTGTTATTATTTATTTGTTACAACTTACAATTATAACAAAAATCGTTGATCGATCGTCGATGTTACGCCGACCTTCATCAGCAATCAAATTTTTCAACCGTCCGTTAATTAATTCGACGAGTACAACACAAACAAATTATGATTTACTCATTATTCACAAGAAGATTCAAACTTTTATTCACAAGAAGATTAAAATTATTGCTTTCATTATTTAATTTATAAAAATATAATTATATATATGTATCAATATAATTTTATATAAATTCTAAATTTCAATAAATCAAAATAAAAGGTATATGGAATAATAAATAATAAATCAATTTTTTTTTTTGAAGTTTAATAAAAATATCAATCGAGTATTGTACGAAAATTATAAATAAATACTTGTGACAAAATAGTGTATACACTTGTAATTTTCAATTCTTATTAATGTGAGATACTTTTTACATATTCAATATATTTGTATGTTTTACGCCAAACATATATACTCATATAAGTTATAGTTATTTAAATATATTATTAAACACCCATTTTATTTACAATTGCTCGTTGGCGTTACAATGTCTCATCAAGAGAAAAAAAAACATTGTGCATATAAGGTACTTTTAATTTTTAATGTTTACATTTCCTTCATACATAATGATATAGGTCATAATTAAAGCGTATTAATACAATTTCACTATAAGTCCAAAAATTGAATTATATGAAACTGAAAGCTAACAATCTCTTTCAGATAAAAAGACTAGCAATATTAATCAAGTTAAATCATAATTAACATAATATTTGAGCAAATCCTGTACTCATATACTAAAAGGAGGCAACCAATTTGAAAAATGTAAATAATTATTTGTTAATTAAAATGTTACAATATAAATCATCTTTTTGCATATTGCATTACATAATCTTTAACTTTACTTCGAAAAGATTCTTTATCCTTAATAAACAAATCTGCTGCATCTCTATTCAAAGGATCGTCAAAGTTTAGGAGATCCTAAAAGAAGCACAATATAATATACACATATAATATGTTTAACATAATCGCATCAATCAAATGAATGCAACAGAAAATACTTGTATACATACAGTGAAAAGAGAATTTAAACCCCATACAACGTCTTTTAGTTTGCGTGTTGGTGCCCATCCCATGCCATCAATACTACTTTGTCTTAAAATAGATAGGCATACATCACCATCCTCACTTATGTTAGGATGCCATAACTTCGTTAAGCATTTTACCACTGGCGGCTGAAAAATATTATTTAACATAATGAGAATTCAGCCGCAACTTTCGATTTTTATATTGACATATATTCTCATCTTCTTTTTCTTTCTTATCCCTTTAGGAAGGAAAGGGATAAGAAGAAAGTCTTTTCCTTTCTCTTCCTTTGCAATATCTTAATGTGTTGATATACTATAATTAAGACATACTATGCCCAGTGAGCTGTAATATACTGGAGATCTATAATATACTGGAGCGCACCATCGATGAATGGGGGTTTCCCAATTCTTAGAAAATGACATTTTGGATGGGATCGAAGTCTTAGGCTGGCGTCTCATGAGTGAAAATTTACAGCAGAACGGAACGAGACCAATCACAACTGTAGAAAGGAAAGTTAGAGTAATGACTGCAGAGCTATGATTGGTCTCGCTATCCTGTTTCATTGTAAATATCCATCAATGGGATGTCAGCTTATTATGAATGCTTTGAAGCATTTGATTGATCAATCAGAAGAAAGAATTTTGACCGATCAAAGAATGCTTCAAAGCATTATATTGACCATATCCTCTGATGCAAAGATAGTTTTTTATGTCAAGAACTCACTGATTAGCTAATGCTGTTTGCAGGAAAGAATCATAAAGACATGTTTTCCTTTATTTGTTTATCTTCCTTTTCTCCATTAAGCTGCCGTTTTCTTTTATTTTCTTTTATCTTCTATAGTTCAGTACAGGAAAGGCGCGTTCCAGTAGTGTATTATAGAGCTCACTGATGATGCCACTGATTTAACAGGTAATTCTAAAATAACTACAAGTAAACTGAGATAACATATAAAAATCAAAGAATATGAAATTACCGCCATGTTATAATCTTCGCTTATATAAATTTGAAAATAGAAATGGCCACCAATCCAATATCCCTCATCTGGCATAATTAATAAGATAAATTCATGAAGACAATGTGGATCTTTAAATGTGACTTTACAAGTTACTGGCAACGTCTGTTCCATTTCCTGTACCTAAGAAAAATAATTCAACATAAACTTAGATAGAATTCATATATTACATCGTTGTTATGACACATAAGAAATATTATGTCAAATTGACCTCCTTGATCAGTAATTTATCTCGTATCGAGACTCGCCTGTTGTAATTCTTTGAATTTGCTATGTCATTTTTATCCTTTTTCAGTTTTCCTCGTAACGTGATCATATTAAACTGCACTAAAAACTTTTATTCACAAGAAGATTAAAATTGTTGCTTTTATTTTTTAATTTATAAAAATATAATTATATATGTGTATTCAATATAAAGTTTAAAATTATTTTAAGAAGGCCAAGTAGCATACAAAGTAGAATTTGTATATAAAGCAAACATAATATCAAGAATGTTATTATAAATTTGTAACAGAAAAAGAGGTCAAAAGATAAATGCAAATTATAATAATTTAACGTTTATAAGATGCAAAGTCGTGATATGTGTTGTAATCAAATTAAAAAGATACTACAACATCAAGAAATATCATTATAATCATTTGTAAAGACATAATTAGGTTAGAAAAATAACACATGCTTTATTTGACGCAATGTACCTTTCGTTGCCAAATTTAATTAGCCTCGTTTTCGTATCACCTGAATCCCGTACATTAAAGCATGTGTAAAGGAGGCTTTTTCATTTCTACTTATTTTCAATTATTTTATTGCGCAATGTAAATCTATGAGAAAAATCACAAACTTCAATATAACTACATATATGACATATAACTCGGCGTCATGAATCATAAATGCCTTATCACATGAACTTACATCAAATTTAGTTGTATTCGCGAGTCGCGATGTACGTATCATGTCTAGATATCCATATATCGTGACTGTTAGTTTTCCAAAGAAATAAACAAAAAAATTATACTTATCCAAATGTTTTAGGCTCAATTGCATCAACGTTACTTTGATTTTAAGTGAGGCTTAAAACTCTTTCTGTCTGTATCTCTTTTTGGATTTAAAAAAGACAAAGTTTTAAATTTCGCTTAAAGTCCAAGTGGCATTAACTGAGCCTAATCCAAATGTTAATCTGAATTTCATAAGTACACTTTTGAAAGTTACAAAATTTTAAAGATTTTAGGAGTCACTATATTCAAAAAATTTATTTTTAAAAATTATTAGATTTTGAAAGTCAATTTTAAAAGTTATTAGAACATATAAAATTATGAAATTTTAAAAGCAGGATTTTTTGAAATATCTAGACTTATATAAAATTTCGACAAAATCTAATATAATGTATTGTATATACATATAGATAATGTATACTGTTATTAGGAAAAGAAAACATACCTTCCACTTAAGCTTATAGCACACGATGCTTATTTTCCTGCTAAAAAAAGCCTAAAATTTACACAGCCTAATTTTCACAGTGCTGAAAATGTGTAGTATACGTGACGTAAACTGTAGATTGCGCTGGCAATGAATTTTGGAACACAGCTTTACTAGCTAGATTAAAATTTTGCCACCGTATTGGCTGCGATGCTGGCAATGACAGCATCGTAGCCAATACCGTGGCAAGATTCTAATTAGCTAGCAATGCAGCAGGAAAATAAGCATCGTATGCTACAGACTTAAGTCACGTGTTCCAACATCAGAAAAGTGCATTAACTTTCGTTTCTATAATACCTTGTGTCTATGGCTGTGGTCAAAATTTTGCTATAAATGTTTTGAAGCGTTTGATGGACTAATTAAAAGAAAGAATTGACTAATTAAAAAACGCTTTAAAGCGTTTATAGCATCGCTTTGACCGTATCCTATTCTAAAAATTGATTGTCCGAGATTTTGGATAGAAAAAGAATTAACAAATCACATTTGAACAATTTGGTCATACAACCGGTGTGATTGATTAATTCTTTCTTCGTTTTGTTTTCTCTCTTCAATATCCGAATATGAATTTATCTCATTTTAATGTAAATATTTTTGAAGATTTCAAGCAAGGCAAACAGGGGATCGATTGTGTATCTTGGGGTCAATTCTGTATCTTCAAACAAAATTTACTAGGTGTTGACCAATGAAATTATCAGTATTCTAATAAATTCGCTCACTTTTGTCATTTTCACTTCGTTTTAAGATACAGAATCGATCTTCTTGAAATAAGATGAAAATTACAAAAGTGAACAAATTCACTGGAATATTCATAATTTAATTGGTCAATACCACCGATGAGATACTATTAAAGACCGACATCCTTACAGGAGTTCGTATACTTATGAACATTGAAGTAATTAAGAGTTAAAAACTGATAATATTGTACTAATTTTATGATTTATTAGTTTAATAGATGTATTTATATATTTAGAACTCAATAATACTCGATTTTTCTTTAAAATTGTAATTTCAGTGTATTGTTAAAGTTTGATTATCAATAGAAATGATAACTGCAGAGAAAAAATTGTAATTTTTTTGTAATATATAAGATATTTATAGCTTTACAAGTATGCATATTTATTTATGGAACATTTATGTAATAAAAAATCATGAATTTAATAATGTATGAGCCAAATATTTAGGTTAATAATAACAAATTTATATCAATTGTCGATAATGTCAGCATTCTTCAATTACCTCCGAGCCCTTGAGGCCCTTTTTATATTGCCGAAAATTACATTGCCCAGGGTTGACGGTTTTTAATAGTATTTCGTCGGTGTCAATACTTAGTAATCATTGTTCACTTTTGTAATTTTTATCTTATTTTAAAATACACAATCGAGCTTCAGAAGATCGATTTTGTATCTTGAAAGGTAAAAATTACAAAAATGAACGAATTTACTAGAATACTGATAATTTCAGTTATCAACACCTAGTAAATTTGCTCACTTTAATTTTCACCTCGTTTCAAGATACAGAATCTCCTTGATGTTTCATGCAGGAATGCAGAATACATTCATGTTGTTTCCAAATCCAATAGGAGCATTGCCTCCTGGACAAAAATGCCTAACTAGAAACCCTAGAAATAAGCGAATTCTCTTATTGGATGTCATATTATCATACATATATACGTTAGATGTCGCAGTGCGAATCAGACATTGCTCTAAAATATCTATCGAAATTATCACATATATTTTAATATCAATGAGATAATATCAAAGTTTACAAACAAGATAATGTCTGAAACACATTGATATGTAGTTTGAGAGATTTATTTAAATGAAATAATCTCATAGGATCAATTATTTTATAATTCAAAAAAGATAAGAAAAGTGACTAATTTTGATAATTGTACCTTATAAGATAATTAAAAATATGAGTCGCCATTTACAACCCTTGGAAGATATTTTGAAAGAAATTCTACCAGAACTTGAAGAACCTATATTATTTCAGAATATGTTACAAAATTCTGATGGTTCTTACGAATGGAAATTACTTCAGTGGAGTTTGACTGAATTGGTTGAAAAGTTTGGAAATAAGAAGTTACCATTTCGAATTGGTAATCATAACAAGCGTACAGTAAGTTATAGCGATATACTTGTATTTATATATTATTTTAATGATTTTATTGATAATTTTATTAATAGTTTAATTGAATTCATTTCTTAGTGTGTTCTTCAACATCAACATTGGTGCTTGAGTCCTCCTCCAAAACCGATTCAATTAACGTTTCAAGAATTTATTAATTTACAAGAGACATTTACAACAAAGCAGAATAATGTATGGCATTACTGTGATTATAAGCATATAAAGGAGTGGCTCAGCGATAATACAGACATTATAGAATCTTTTAATTGGCTCAAATTCGGGATTGATAAAGAACTTGGTAAAAATGGAATGCATTCTACTATTTGGATTGGAGGCAAAGGTGCTCATACTGATTGTCATTGGGATACCTATGGTTATAATTTAGTAGCACAAATACATGGCAGGTTTGTATTTTTCAATTATTTTTTAGTTCTAATATTATCTCTGTTTATATTGTTCCTATCTTACTTGTAGGAAACAATGGTTGCTTTATCCACCTAACGCTTCTCTGATACCAGTTAGACTTCCTTACGAGGAGTCAACTGTATATAGCAGATTTAATATTTATTGCCTAAGTGAAGAAGAAAAAGATTGTTTGTTGGATATACCAAACAAACCAAAATTAATAACTCTAGAACCTGGAGATGTTTTATTTGTGCCTAATGGTTGGTGGCATTACGTGGAATCTTTAGATAAAGTCAATGTAAGCGTTAATATATGGGGAAAATTGAAAACAGATAGCAGAGCACGAGTCGAGGAAGCTCTAGTAAAATTGATAATAGCCAAGATGGGAGATTATAAGTCAGTTCCGAATAAGTTAACTACATATTATACGACAGAAGTAATTTTTTTTCTTCTAAGAAACATCAATATTGTTGATTAAATGCAGATAGAACTTATGTTTAATGTATAAAACTATTTCATTAGGTTGAATGCGCTGTGGAACGTGCACAAGAAGAGGAGCAGGAGAAACAAACAGAAACGATTCCAAAAATACCAGCAAAAAGACCTAAACCTAAACCAGAAACTGCAACAGAATTAGCTGAAGAATATCCCTATTATGTTAAATTGTTACCTGATGCAAAGGAGCACGAATTTAAAGAATTTATTGAAGAAAGACGTAAAAGGGACAAGGAGAAGTATCCATCAGAGGAAACAAGTGCATCTGGAGATTATGTACCTAATCCTCAATATGATTCATTTTTTGAATCTCTTATCAATGCTTTATGTCATCCAGAAGTTATTAGTAAAGCAGCAAAAGTATTATTAGAAAGACATTACTAATAATCCTTAATTTGTATTTTATAAATGTGAGATTATATATAAGATAATATCAAGTTTTTTTAATTATCTACTATGTCACTTTTATGCTATTTATTAACAGTAAAGTTGGTGACACAATGCTTGATAAACTATTTAACTTTCAACCGGCTTTATCCGTATAGTTTATATATATATAATTAATAATATATAATTTTATATATAAAATATATCATATATGTATTAGGTTCCGTGAAAAGTTTATATCATTTATCAGGAAAAAAAACGACAAATTTTCCAATATATGTTATATATATCAATTACGTGTAAACTTTTTAACCGTATAGTCGTGCAAATATTCCATAATTCGCAAACATAAAAAACTGGAAATTTGTAATTGTGAATCTTTTAGTAGTTGACGAGTATATTATACATACACATATTTAATTGTCATTGAATTTAATGTGAATAAAATATAAGTCCCTAAAGTAGAATGCTGATATTCCAAAAAAATGTAAATAAATATAGGAAAATATAAAATTGTTTGAACAATCAGAAAGTTTTTGAATCACGATTTCATATTATCGTCATAAATTTGTATTTATAGGTTGATAAAAAATTTATATCGATAATTGATAATGATGAACTCTAATTTTTTTTCTACACTTATAGCTACGATCCACTTGACGCTATGAATGCTTCGAAGCCATTTTTGATTGGTCAGTTAGTAAAAATTCTTCCAATTGGTCAATCAAAAGTTCCGTAGCATTTTTATTTGTTGCGTCAAGTGGACCACATTCTATATTCATCACTCACTTGATAACATATGAAAATTCACTCAGCTGATCATTTTTTATAATAGTACCTAATCAGTATAAGATGAGGCGTTTTTACACGTGCTTTTTACCGATTGTGTAATTTGATCAATTAACAAGTTGGATTGGAGGTTAGAAACGTTTCTGTCAAACTCGAGAGAATTTTGTTCGCATACAAACAT